TCAGTTAACTAAAGAAGAACTCACTCGTCGACATTCTGGTACTTTTAAACCAGTTAGTCTTAACAACCATATTTCAAAGAAGATTATACATATCTTGTTATATTTGTCTTCATATCACATAATTTATTTACAAAATGAATTATATAAGTATATACAGACACACATAACACCAAAATAAAAACAAAACAAAAATATACATAAATCTTTATACAAGATAGATCAAGATTCCCAGTCATGGGTGTGGGTGTGGGTGTGGGTGTGGGGTGTGGGTGGGTGTGGGTGTGTGGGTGTGAGTGTGGGTGTGGATTGAAGAGGAGTACAACATTCACGCTCACACCCACACCCACTCACACCCGCACCCACCCCACACCCACACCCCACACCAGCCCCCACACCCACATCCACACCCACACCCCACACCAACACCCACACCCACACCCTATTTTAGTCTAACATGTTTCATTTATCAATTGATTTTCTTCGAGAGGTTCGATAAGTGTCTGAAAATGATCAATGTTCGATGAATGAGAAATGTAACAATCTTTCTATGCTAGTCGCTGATGATAAACGAGTAGTCTTTGCACTTTTCTAGGAAATAATTGTCGTCCAGTTGAATCATGTGATACTGTAGATGTTAATCAGTAAGAACTTCTTATATTTGTGATTGTCATCTTCAATCTAACGATTTTTCTGTCTTTGCTATTATTAATAACTGATGGACAAGTGCATTCACTGTTAAAGAGTAAGAAAATAAAGATAAATTCATTAAATTTAATTTATTCTGTCAAAAAGATGGGTGTGGGTGTTTAACGTCTGTTCATTCATAGCCACATCTACTCCTTAGTACAGATAATGCTTTACTTGGTCCATTATGTTTTCCATTATTTATTTATTTTTTGTTGTTTTTATTGGAATAACCATATTTATATCTGTTAATGGTGATATTTTTTGAAGAGCAAGAAAAATGAGTCAATGATCATATATTACAGATTATGAGATGTTTACATTTATGCAGAAGAAATTTACACGATGCAGATGTTTGATATAGGGCATTTGTTTTTCGTTCGGTATGTAGAAATGATTTGTATTTAGGAACGAAGAAGTCAGCTGAATGGGAAGTAGAAGAAAGAGATAAGAGAATGAGATCTGAATATCATGATCCAATTGAACGTTTTCCAGATAAAAATTGAGCAATTATTAAAAGCATTGAGTCAAGCAAGAGAAATGTATTTTCTGAGGAAGATTTGAATTGTTTTTACTTTCTGTTTAGATATATTTAAGTCAAATCTTAAAGCATAATACGAAGAAAGTTTTGTTTTGATAGTACCTGCTCTTAGTCGACGACATGGTAAATCTAAAATATGAATGGAACATTTTTAATGACAGATTTATTTCTTTAAAGAAATATTCTTATGACTTTTTATCAATGATTTTTGCCTTGATTTCATATTATCTCAGCACTTCAATATTTTCAATAAAGAATATATTCTTTTGCCTTGATTGCCAAGCAAGAGATACTAATGTTTGAAGAAAAAACCAGTAGGTTTCACTGACATAAAGAAAGAAAAAGAATATGACTCATCGTCAAAATCATATGCATGTTTCTACAGGTTTGTTCTTAGAACAAACTTTGTCTGAAGAATAGAAGAAAAAGAATCACTCAGTACAAACGTTTAAAATTGTAAAGCGTGATGAAGAATCTTATCTTTCTGTTCTAAAGTAAGTTTCTGACAAAATCTTGTACTGCACAAAACATGTCTATTTATTTTTTGTATTAAATCTCATACTTACAGGGTTTCTTTGATGTTTTTCTTTCTCTGTATTATAGAACCTTTATTCTTTGTCCAGCTATTTCGGCAATCTCTCTCAGTCTTGTCGGACATCCATCTCTTGGTACACGTATTGGTCGTAATCAACCATTTAGTGCCGCAGGTAATGTGATATTAGCGGTAATTATGGAATTACTCGGTTACTATGTTTCTACTCAATTGATTTTTCTCTTTGTTATTGGTGTTTCTATACTAACTCTTATTGCTCTTTCCTGCATATGTCAAAGTGAAATTAATTATGAACGTAGACGTACAGTAGGAAAAACAGAAACTGGCATGACTGTGGTCAGTTTTAAAGAATTGCTATTATTAATTATTCGTGATCAATGTCTTCTAATTATATTTTCTTGTGTGATCTTATTTATTTCATTTTGGTAATGCCTCCATGCCTCCAGCGATGGTTCAAGTATTAGCACGGGATCCTTCACCAGGTGCATCGTCTCTCTTCATGTCAGTTTGTGTGGATGGTCACTTAACTAGTTAGCGCATTATTAGAATGTGGGTGTCGGTCTGGGTGCGTAGGTTTTTGCCTTCAGGACTCACGCCCCCATCCACACCACCTACAGCACAACGAATGATTGTATTTGATAATAACAATTCGCTAATAGAACGTCTGATGATGGTCAATTCAATTGGAATATCATGATACGCTGATTTCAAAATTTTTCCATTTTCCGTATTGAAGAATGTTGCTCTGGCAGATCGATGTAACCATCAACCCGCATGTCTTCGTCATCGCAACATGTATTTGATCAGATTTGATCATTTACCTCTTGGTAAGTTGTAATAAGCAACTTTACTTGTCAGTATGGAGAGCAGGATATCTTTTCTGTTCTTACACATTTCACTTTTGCATTATCTTTTTCTCATATAGTATGAGTAAAGACAAAGACGAAGTCGTGCTCTCCATACTAACGAGCAAAGTTGCTTATTACAATTTACCAAGAGGTAAATGATCAAGTCTGATCAAATACATGTTGCGATGACGAAATCGTGTAGGTTGATGGCAACATTGACCTGCCAGAGCAACATATCTTATATTAAAGTAAAGAAATAAAACATAAAAAATGTCAGTTTAGTTTTATCGCTTCATTGAAAAAAGAAATTGGATACCGGAACACGTCGTTATTTTAATAGAGAAATGTCCTATATTATCATATATATATAAATGACATGTTCGAGGTTAGAGAACACGATTCTAATGTTTACTTTCATCTTAAATTTAATAGTGTTACACTAGTAAGATTGAAATTTTATTAACGCATTCGTTTTCATCTTTAGAATATATGTATTTAATAAGAATCTTCTTTTTTTACTTAAGATAGAACATTTTTTCAGAATAAGAAAAGAGAAGTCATGTGCGATACAGTTACGATATTCTTGTTTCGGTTTTAATTAGGATCATATTAGATCGATTGAAATAGGTCTTCAAACACAGAAAGATTTTGTATGGATTTATTTGTTGATAACGTTTTATTATATATATATGTCGATGTTTTCATTTTAATGATTTCGCTAATATTTGTGTTTATCATAATGTTCATAATGAGGAAGAAATTTACAAAAGTTGTTGTAGTCTAAACTTTCAATCGATAGTTTTCATCATAATTTTCATAAATTCCAGATTATTATGAAGATTATCAACATAATCAATATAATTAGAGTTTTCTTTTCTGGTCTTTTTCATTGACTTTTATTTTCATACCTTCATCGCTTCTAATTAGCCTATCAATTATAGTATTAATTCCTGTTTTTACTCTCATACCTTGTCCATCGTCAATGATGACATTACTTTTACTATTTCATTTAAATTATTGCAAAAAGAAACTAATCTATGATCTTGCTGATGAAGAGAATTTGCACATAAATTAAAATATGATGCTGATGAAATTCTCATGATGAAATAGAAACTTCCTGATAGATTATAGGATACAAATTTTGTTCATACATCTGTGCAACATGATATTTATGTTGTTTTTATAGATTGTATATATTCTTGTCTCTTTTTTGTCCTATACACAATGTAATGCGTTTATACAAGATCATATTAGAAATTTGGCATGTTATTAAAATAGTCACGACTTTTCGATGTATGAGCTAAAATCAAAGTGCAGTTTTGTTATTCTTATTCAGTTGAAATTCAACGTTGGCTCCATTGAGCTATAAATCTAGATATTTAACTAAAACTAAATCTGAACAAGAAATATTCTTAGTCATTGATTCAATATTATCATCATTTGTGTTTCGATATCAACTATAACATATTATTGTTCAGTTACAAAATATATTAGTAGAAATTACAATTCAATTACTATCAATAAATTCAGTACTAGATAATGATGAAAAGAAAAACGATGATTGAAAATACAATCAAATCATTCCATAAAGTGGCTATCATCATAAGCATAAAATCTATCAGCAAAACTCTCAAAGATGGTGTTAGACAATAAATAATCGAACGGAATTATTATTTTCGATCAAAATATAATCTTTTAGCTCTGTCATAATACCTAAAATACTTTATAACGATTCATTTTAGTTTTTCCTATCATGTTTCATTGTTTTCCAAGAGATATTTTATAACGCAAAATATGATGTTGTGTATTTCATTTTATCGTATATTCACATTTAACTAGAAATTATATTTTTCATTCGAAAATAAATACGACAATAATGAATCAAAATTTCAAAATAGACGTAATTTTGAGTTATTGAGTTGCTTTTTTTCAATCCTGAATCGTAGCAAAAAAATATATAATCTATTTGATATTTTATATTCTTTGAGTGTTTGTTTTCTTTTTCATGTATACGACACAAGATGTTGAGAAATATTCATTATATCATTATTAGAACCTTTCCATCTGTAATATTATAAATGTTACAAAAAATTAACTCTCAAGATCTTTCGATATTGTTTCTTTCTCATTGTTTCAATGATCCAAAAATTTCCAGTGTTTAGAATTTCTAGTATTTGAGAAAAGACAAATCATTTCATTCGACGAATTCATTGAATCATATAGAGAAATTTTTTTTATTTGACATATTCGTATATAACTATCAACAAAATGGTCTCTTTAATAAAAAAGCATCGAAAGAATACTTGTTTTTCTTATCGAATGATAAAGCTGTTTCTCATTTTAAAAATCTAAGAGAACATATTTGAAATTGAAAAAACGACGAAGAACTAGTCATCTCTATCTACATGTGTTAGATAAATCTTCAATAAACATGTAACAGAAAAATTATATTTTTTTATAAGTTAATGAGTAACTTTGTCTTGTTTCATATAGTGTGTGTTTTCTACTTGTCAGATATTCGTAAATGAAATGACATGAGAAATATTCGCTCAATAGATGTTTTTATTTTTTCTATGAACTACTGGAAACTTTCTTGTTAGAGTAAGTATAATTTGATTAGATTATTTGTAACAAGGAAAAAAATTTAATCGTTGAACAAAAAAATATTTTGTTTTTCAGATCCATCTATTGAAAAGAAAGAAGAAAGGATATTTTTTACCACTAGTTTTTCATTGTATGTTACTTTGATTTTTTCCGACTAAATTCTCTGGCATTCACTTAATGTATCTGAATAACTCTCGTCATTGCTGATAATAATTATTCTTGTAGTGAATGAATTCATTACTTAATCATATCTCGGAATAAACTTTCTTCTACTAAAGGATTCATGTTCAAAGTTGAAATATAATAAGATTGATATACTTTTAAACGTCTCCATACATGGAATATGCTATTAAAATCAACAAAATATCTTCATCTTTATCGATTAAAATGGAGAAACTCTATTCTTTCTCTTAGTTCGAGATTCTCCTTCTAGTTTATAAACAGGAAAACATACAATTATGATATAATTTGTTTTTTTTTTCACAACTGACCTAATGTCTGTATCAATCAAAAATACTAGTTATTCCTCTACTGAAATTTTTATTAACTCTCAATAGATTTTCCTCTAGTTTACATATTTTAATTTCTGCTCAACTGTTCTGTTTTATTGTACTAGACGCCTGATCAGTAGTCTTTTTTTCTCAATCATGTATTTACAAAAAAAAATAATAAGTATTAACAACGTAACTTTTATACATATTAATGATAGTATCTTACCTTAGATACACGACGTAACATTTGAAATAAAAAGAAAAAAAAATCTCTAAGAATAATAGACTGGAAATAGTTCTCTCCCAAAACAACGACATTTGATCAAACAGATCACGAGCTATATACCTTTATCATTAACTAATTTTTTCCAATCAAACGCCGAAAAACAAAATTCTTCTTTCGGGAGCACGCAGATCTTGTTACCCAAAATCTAATAGACACACACATTACGAAACAGTTGATCGAATAGATGAAAATTATTTCTTTTATTCTTTCAAAGTGATAAAGAATGTTGCTCTGGCAGGTCAATGTTGCTATCAACCTACACGTTTTCGTCATCGCAACATGTATTTGATCAGATTTGATCATTTACCTCTTGGTAAGTTGTAATAAGCAACTTTACTTGTCAGTATGAAAAGCACGATATCTTTCCTGTTCTTACACATTTCACTTTTGCATTTTCTTTTCTCATATAGTATGGGTAAAGACAAAGACGATGTCGTGCTCTCCATACTAACGAGCAAAGTTGCTTATTACAATTTACCAAGAGGTAAATGATCAAGTCTGATCAAATACATGTTGCGATGACGAAAACGTGCGGGTTGATGGCAACATTAACCTGCCAGAGCAACATATTTTTCGTATAAGAAAAGAAGAATGTAAAATGTGAAGGCGGTACGTACACTTTTTTCTACACATTAGAATGACTACATATACTGTCATGATTCCTGAGACAATGAAAAATCTGTTTGATAATAATATATGATTGTATAGGCATCGAAATTTGATGACATCTAATTCTGAGTAGATCTGTAACTGAATGAAATATTTACGTTTAATCTTTGGATAGAGAAAGAAGGACCAGGTAAAATATAAATCATTTTGTTTTGGTAGAACTTCTTAGTTAGCGAGAAAAAGACATTCGTAACTAGGGAGATGTGAGTTTTTCATGTGCTCCAGGTGTCTATGTCATTGAACATGAGATGTAGGTATTGTCTCTTGGTTTAGTTGTGATAGGTGTTGTTTCGATAGATCGATGTTACTAGCAACTCACATGTGTTTTGGTGATTGGTATCATCGGTTATTGACCTCTTAGATATCTGCAAAATGAAATCGACTAAAATTCTTGTTGGAGATGCGAAATCTATGCTGTCTTTGTATCTCATTTATTTTTTGTCTTTCGCTACGTATAGTAATGCATATCTATAAGACAAAATTAAAACTTCATTTGAACCCTCGTTCCATTGATGTCAGGCTCATTCAAGT